CCTAAAATATTTATCTAGACTAAGGTATAGAAAATCTGTAATTTCAGAGCTTCCCTGGGTCTTTTGGTGGCCAGAATTTGCTAAGCAACGACTGACAGCTCTGTTTCTTGAAGAGAGAGATTTGTCTTACCCACCAATAAGCCTCTCCCCGTGTTTGGAAACTAGAGGATGAGTATGAGAGTAGTAGTTGGAATGAACATTCATAACAAAAAGTGCTGTCTCCTGACTGGAAAAGGGAGTGTGTGAAGATCATTCAATTTGTATAGAACAATCTCCTCTTCAGTATGAACCTATTCTGTAGTTTCTGAAAAATCATTTCTTGTTCTTTTGCATGTGTGTGTCAAGAAAATAGATATGCCAGTTTGATACAATAATTATTTTCTAACTGAGCAGGAAGGATGGGGAGGCATGTCACACCAATGGAAGGACCTCATCTCAGGCATGTTCTTAATATGCCACCCTCATCCACTCTAGCCCCCTCCCTCTGTTTATTTCATTCTGGTCAGAATTACCCAGTGTTTGAGCACTAGCTTATTGAGTTCAGCGTATTGCACTGGTCTCAAGATGGTAAGGGTTTTCTGGAGTTGGAAAGGGGTTGGCAGTGAGAAGCTGTGAGAACATTTGCGGGGAAAAGATGAATGAACAGTAGGACAGGGAAGCAAGTCTAGAGACTGGCACGTGCCCTCAAGGAGACTCTCTGTAAGAGAGTGAACTATTTTTTTCCCTTTTTCCTTGAACTGTGGTGACATCATATTTATCCTAAAGTTCTGCATTTCAATTTTAAAAATTTTGACATAATTTCAGATTACAGAAAAGTTGCTAGGATCCAACAAAGAACATTTTTACTCTACAGTTTTTGCTTTATTCTTCTTTCTCTGTATTGTTTTTTCGGAACTGTTTGGGAGAAAGTTGCTGACATGAATCCTGTTACTCCTAAATATTTCAAAGTGTGTTTTCCTAAGGCAAGCACATTCTCTTACATAACCACAACACATTGATTAAAATCAGGAATTTAATATTAAAACAATACTAGTATCTCATTTACAGACCTTCTTCAGATTTTATATTTTGTCCCAATAATGTTCTCTAGATCATGTGTTGCATTCAATTATCATGTCCTTTTAATCTCTTTCACTTGGAACAGTCTTCCTTTGAATTTAATGATATTGACTTTTTTTAATAGTACAGGCCATTTGTTTTGTAGACTACCCCTCATGTATGGGGTTGTCTGATGTCACCTTGTGGCTTTGGCAGGAAGTCATGTCGTGTTGCTGTCAGGGTATCCTACCAGGAGGCACATGATGTGAATACCCTGTTCCTGTTGATGTTAACTTTGATCACTATGATGTGAATACCCCGTTCCTGTTGATGATAACTTTGATTACTATGATGTGAATACCCCGTTCCTGTTGATGTTAACTTTGATCACTTGGGTTAAGATGGGACTGCCAGGTTTGTCCACTGTAAGGTTACTATTTATCCTTTGGTAATTAGTGTTATCTGGGAAGGAGATTAGTTTCACACTGTTAATCAATCTTACATTGTAATTTCACTCTGTATATTTGGAATGAAAATTTTGTTGTTATTTCTTTTACTTTTTAATTTTTCTTTCCCCCAAAGGTGTCTTACTTTTCTACTTGGTTATTCTCAGCTCTGCCGCAGGTACCTACACTTACATCTTTCTTGGCCCAAGCCTGCAACCCTGTCCACGCTGGCAACTGCCCATACTAGCAGAGTGTTGATGGCAGAGGGAGAAAGCCACAGCTCCCATTGCTCCCTCATCTCTTCAACCTAGAACACAACCATAAAAACTACATGAAATATTATTCACTGAGAGTTTTGGGGGTTACCAAAAGAAATTCTATAAGGTGGAAAATGAGAAGATATTCCCTTTAAATTCATTACACCCACAAAAGGTTTGTAAACTATACAAAGGCATAGTTTACCTCATACCTTTGTTACAAAAGACATTGAGGCAATTTGTTCTGTAGACCTTATACACACCTCTTCTTCTGTTATGTGGGAAGCTTAGTTCCTGCATGAGATCAGATAAATAAGAAAACCAGTATTATCACACTTAAAAACTAATATTAGTTCTTTCATATTGTTACACACCCAGGAGAAGCTTAAGGTACTTTAACTTTTAGTGATTCTTTGCACAAAGTTGGATATCAAAGCTGGAGAAAATTTTCTCATTGAGAAAAACTCTTATGATTGGTGTAAATGTATAGCAATAGTGAAAGGAAGCATTTTACTCTGACCTACAGGAAATCTTATTGCTTCTAGTTTTTCTTTACGGAGTAGATAGTGGAAAAATTTATAGAGTAAAACATAGATATTTCCTTTTGAATGTCTTTTTCCAGACATATTAGCTAAAATGTTCAGGGAGTGTGTATGAGAAATGAGATGGCATTTTCAGTAAGAGCTAACAAGAGGAGTAAGCACACATTGAAATTTCCGTTCTGCCAAAAACCCGGTCCAATGAATATTTCATCTTAAATAATAAGAGGAAAAGCTAATCTCACATTCTCTCAATTTCATTTTAGATTGTTTTCTGGCATTGGGAAGTATGGAGGGAGTTTTCTTTTTCTTTTTTTCTTATCACAACACTGTATGTCTTTTAAATACTGGCAATTGAGAGTGTTGAAACAGTGAGTGAATTGTTTGGATTGGTCACCTTGAAGAAGCCGAAAGAACATGGCAGGCATTCAAAAACTGGAGATTGAATGAGTTAAGGGTAAAATTGATCTGTCTTGCAGCTTTCTATCTAAAAACTGCCTCCTTTTTTGCAGTCTTGGAGTCTAAACTCTCTTGTTTCAAACACTGAGAAGTTTTAAAAGCCTGACAAATGCCAGTAAAATCTATCAAGCAAAGTCAAGGAAGCTGCTTCCTCTCATCCAGTCATAGGTATCCAGGCAGTTTGCTCAGGCACACAGAGTGCCACTCAAAGCAAGGCAGGATGCCCAGCTTGAGCTCCATTCTTATTTCCCCATAGTACATTCAACTCTCTGAGTATCTGACTCAGACATAGCAGAGATACTGCTGCTGCCAGAGGGTAATAGTTTGTTCTGTTTTCCTGGAATGCCCTTGCACTGAGAAAATGAGAAGTTGGGCAACTCAATGTATGTTCCCATCCTGTGGATTTCTCACTGGCTTTCCCTGGCTCTATTACTTCTTCCATTTTAGAGGGAATAGTCATCCTGCTTTTCACGCTACCACCTTTTCTTTGGAATCAGTTGGATGCATTTAATGGATATGGAAGAGATGCTGAGAGGGCACGTAGTAGAAATAAGAATAAAATGTTTCATTTTTTTCTGATTTCTTGGAGAATGAGATATTCCATGTGAGTGTATTTTTCTAGACAATTGAAATCCATGCCTTAAATGTCAAAACTTGTTTTTAACTTTGAGAAATGATGTAGCACAGTGGTTAAGCACACAGACTTTGAGGCAAATTGTCTGTATTTAATCACTTTCTACCTTTGTAACTTCAGGCACTTAGCCCTTTGTGCCTCAATTTCCTCATCTGTGAAGTAGAGATAATAATAGACCTTATCTTACAGGGTTATGGTGAGTTAATATATGTAAACATTTAAAACAATGTCAGATATATAGTAAGCATATAGAAGTTGATATTATTATTAATTTATCCATTCATATGCAAATCTTACCATGAAATGGTACCCATCTTCTTGTTATCTTTTATAGAATATATTGAACATTGACTATGCAGTGCCTTCATACTCAGGGAAAGAATATAGTCATGGCTTCAGAGAGTCCTAAGATGACGCTGATGATGAAACAGTAGCTAATATGGTTTCATGAATGTTCTTGGTTAATCCCTGCAAAAAACCTCTAGGATAGGCACACTAATAAATAGACTTAGAAGGTCTAAGTACTTGCCCGACTTCACACAGCTAGAACCAGATGTGAGATACAAACTCAGGGTTGTCTTACTTCAACGCTGGTACTTTTGGACCCCTTACCACACTGCCTTGTGGTCAGGACTCCTCATCTCCACAACAGTGGTTCTCAAACTTGAGTATCCCACAGGATCACCAGGAGGGCTTGTTAGAACACAAATTTCTGACTTCCACCCCAGAGGCTTCAGTAGTTTTGGGGTGGAGGCTGAGAATTTGCATTCTAAGTTGCTAGATGATGCTAATGCTGCTGGTCCACAGGAACCACACTTTGAGAACCAATGTTTTCACTAAATGACTCCAGACAATATTTAATACCAATTATTTTTTATTTTCTCTTTACTATCAGTTGCTGCTTGAAGCTATCAATGTATTCTTTTGCTTTTAAACAGTATTCTATGCACATCTAGCCATTTAAAAACTCTATAACCCACCTCCTGTGTTATTTGTGGATTTTATGACAGCAGTTGCTATTTAAGAGACTCCTTTCAATCACTAATTAGTTCCCTGGTGCACTTGGCTCATAAACGCCACGAGGACCTTGACTTCTCTTCTTAAATATTGCTTCTTTTAATTTTAATGTAAAAAAGTACTGAGTGACTAAGATTCATGAATTTAAATATCTATCTTATGCCATTTTTTCCCCTTCCCAATGTTGAGGACTTTATGCCCATTGTTAAAGTAAACTAAATATGGCCTGAGAAGGATTCTGTAATTCTATATTTGAATCTTTGTGAATGAACTGTAACCTAGTTTAATAGTCAGACAAAATTGAAACTCTAACTTAATCGTATGCACCTGTAACAGTGGCTGAGTGTTGGCCAATCCCAGCAGCCATACTTCAACTACTCATAGAGGCTGAATGTTCAAACTGCGTTCAAGTAAGGCAAACATCAAGCTGTAACCAATTTCACCATTTCTGTACCTCACTTCCTATTCCTGTAAGCCACTTTTCCTTTTTTTGTTTATGAATTTGTTCTGAGTATGAGGCACTCCTGGAGTCTCTGTGAATCTGCTGTGATTCTGGGGGCTGCCCAATTCGCGAATCGTTTACTGCTTAATTAAATTCTTTAAATTTAATTCAGCTGAAGTTTCTTTTTTATCAGATGGTGTCAGAAGCGGGATCTGAAGTGGAGCTTCTAGCATGCCCCAGCAGCGCTGAGTGAACACGCAAGGTACCTGCAGGACCCACTTGTGTCCATTGACCTCTCAGAGCCACTGGGGATCATGGGTAAGCTTACTCTCAGATTTCAGAGCTCCACGGATTTGTGTTTTGAGCTCTCTGAGTTTCTTTGAGCAAATTTCTGATCCAAACTGGGTTTGGAGTCATGACAGAAACTGGACTAGGTCTGGGAACAGATTTGATCCAAGAATTAACTGGCTTGGATCTAGTTAGAGGCCTCTTATTTCTGGCTGGGTCAGAAAAGAATTGGTAGTAAGCTGTAATATTGCAGGGGTTATAAACTTTGACTTTTAAAAATTCACAGGGATTTTTGTGTTCCACCCCTTTGTTTAATTTTTCTTGTGCACTTACGTAGGAAAAAAAATCATTGGCTAAGTTAATCAAGAGAACCTGAGAGTAAAGCCAGTATTTTAGGTAAAAATGGGATCCTTAATTTCTGGAAAACTGAGTTCCTCCTGGCTTATACTTTAGGCCTGGGAGGCAGTGAAGTCTTACAGAAACGACAAAATCTTACTAAAGATAACTTACGGTGGAACGTTCTGAATGAACAATGCATTGAAGTACATTTAAAAATGAAGGCTCTTGGTAAAGTCCCTTTTGGCTAAGAAAGAGTTTGGCACTACAGGAGGTCAACTGCTATTGTCTTTGGAATAATCTGCCTTGCACTCTTTGCTGATGGCTGTAGGTGACAGGATTAGGCATGTACAGGATCATTGGACATGGGGAGCTTTTTCCCCCCTAAAAGGGAAACTTGAGAGCTGATGAGACTGCTGGAAAAGATCCCCTTTCTACTGAGAAGCAGCCGCCTGAACTTTTCAGTGTGGCTGCAATGGGTGGGTCTTTCTCTGGCCTCCCTGATCATTTTGCCTTCCTGACCCTGCCACAGGCAATGCTTTTCTCTCTCCACCTTTCCCTTATCTTTTCTATTACTCAGGGCGACCATCTGGCCCAGAGACCACTAGGCCGGGCGCGGTGGCTCAAGCCTGTAATCCCAGCACTTTGGGAGGCCGAGACGGGCGGATCACGAGGTCAGCAGATCGAGACCATCCTGGCTAACACGGTGAAACCCCGTCTCTACTAAAAATACAAAAAACTAGCTGGGTGAGGTGGCGGGCGCCTGTAGTCCCAGCTACTTGGGAGGCTGAGGCAGGAGAATGGCGTAAACCCAGGAGGCGGAGCTTGCAGTGAGCTGAGATCCGGCCACTGCACTCCAGCCCGGGCGACACAGCTAGACTCCATCTCAAAAAAAAAAAAAAAAAAAAGAAAAAGAAACTCCTGGTCGGAGGTTGGATTAACAATGGTGGGGCCCAAACAGAGACGAGTTGGAGCCTTGCCAATTTTATATTGGATGCTAAGCAGAGCGGCTAATGTCTGTTTTGTCACCATATTTTACTCTGGCCAGAATGAAAAAAGATAATTTTCCTTTGTGCTGCAACTTGGCCCCCAAAGCTATGTTGCGAGAAGCTGAATCACTAGGGATGCTCAGGGAAAGGGAAACCAGAAGCCTGGCATCCCGGCAAAAAGATAAGAATTTCTTACCACTCAGATTTTGGGCTTCTCTCTCTCTGTGCAGCAGAGTTTTCTTAGACCATTGTTCTGCTCTGAGAAAAAAAAATTATAAAGTGTTATAAAAGGTTTATAAAAATCTTACCTTATGGTCAAACTAATTAAAACTGAATAGATTTGTAAAGTGTTACTTTACTAGCTTTAACATTGCTTTAACATTGAAAATATACTAATGGAGACATAAAATTTGGTTTTCTCTTTTAAAAAGGATTTTTATGTAATATTAAAAGATAATGAAAGATTTTTGTTTACCTTTTAAGTAAACTACAAAAGAAAAAGAGAGGAAGGGAAAGGAAGGAGACAGAGTCAGTTGGCTTCATGCTATCTCCACTGGGTCTTATTTTAGAAAGCTGAGTCTACTCTGTATAAGAATAATGTTTTTTCCTTTAAAAATTTTTTGAGTTATCATTTTGGCTAAATGGATGACTTATGGTAACCTAAGATTCTATTTTGTAATATCCGATGTTTCAAACCTTTAATATTAAACAAACCATTCAAAATCAAGCTCTAGATTATCATGCTAAATCAGCCAATACTAAAATTGTTTAAATATACAGTTTGAATGAACTCCATGGTCTAAGTCAAATTACCTCTGATAACACATAAGTTGTCAGTGCCGTGCACCTAAATCTTAGAAACAACTAGTATTCAAGAGGATGTAAGTCCAGTGTTAAGCAAGGACTCATGAAGAACCAGGATGGCCATCTTGTCCTTCCTGAGTCCTTAAAGCTTTTGTTATTAAGGTTTCTGCATTTCATGACTCAGCATGGAAAATATAAAATAATCCAAATTGAATATATTGATGTGGTGACTTATAAATTGTGGGACTAGTTTAAAACCAATGTTTTGGTTCCATTTTCCTGGGAAGACAATCAAAGCTTCATGTACATTTGGCTACCTGATGTGCCATTTAAACATTTATAAAGGGATTTCATTCAATTGTCATTTTCAATGCATGTTTTGTGGTAGCATAAAAACTTTCCCATGCAAGAGGACTGGTGTTATAACAGTAGATTATTATACTACAGTGTATTTTCACCAGGTAAAGAGAGCTTTTTGTGTTTCACTGAGGATAATCCCTTCACAATCTAGAGCCCTAAGATTGGATCTTCTGAGAACATTAGAGAAAGACTGTTCTTCCCATCCATACTTCAGCAAAACTTTGGAGCCTTGAGCCTTGGGTTCATAATCTCACAATGAGAAGGGTCCACACTCCTGGAACTGTACAGCCATTGGAACCTTTAAGGTAAAACTGACCAGGAAAGTTTCTCCCCAGAAGAAGACGGCATCCTTGATTCAAACAGCTTTTCCCAAGATTATAGATCATGACTTCTACTACTATCACAAGACTCTTATCTTTAAATATTTTTTCTTTGTTTATGCTTCTATAAATAATAGGAATGAAAAGGGGTCTATTGTGTGCACTTATAGGGTATAGTTTTATTTGTGAAGGATTTTGCAGTCAGCCTTATACATGAATAACCTTATACTTTAATACATAAAAGATGAAGGCAAAATGTAGGTGAGAAACTTTGGTGGTACATATGTTGCCTCATCATCACTCAAAACTCCTCGTTATGGATAAAGAGACCATTGCCAGGAGGCCTTCACTCTTCTAGCAGGACAACATTTTTCTGGGTCCTTTTTCCATAGTTCAGAATAAAAGACAATAATTAGAATTGTCACCCTCATAATAGGCTCTACAGCAAATTCTACTTTAAAGGCTATCGTTACACACAGACTTCAAATTCTCTTGTGGAAGTTATGCTAAGTTAATAGAAGTAGCTAAACAGAAAAGTACCTGTGCAGCTGCTGACACTTGTGGCCTATGGAGAAATACATCAAAGGTAGATTATTAAAATTCAGTTGTAGGGTATTAATGAAAAGACCACTTAGTCAAGTGAGTAGACTCTTCATTCAGCTCATTATTAAATGTGTTTAATTTTACACGGTTTGGTTTATGGGGACCTTGGGTAAGGGACCATACTCTAAACTCTTGGTATTATCCTCCCAATAATCATAATAATATTCTCCCTGGTGCACTGTATTCTCTCAAAGGTTTTAAATGTTTGCATGCAGCCATCTCTAGAACATCAAATGATCTCTCTTCAACTGGAATGACAAAAGCTGAAAGAAATGTGCAACCATGAGGACACTGTAAGCTATGAATGACATGCTGAGACCAAAAACCCAAAATGATGGTAACTGAGAATGGTGCTAAGGGCCCTAAGTATTGGTTACACTCTTGATAAAGTGAAACCTGGCCAAAAAGCAGAATTTTTTTTAAACAGAATTACGGAGGCCATTATTTTGGACTGAGCTCATGCACTAGGCCCCAACAAACCAAACCAAACCAAACTAAAATGGAGTCACTCATGCTAAATGTGACATAATCAAACTAAGACTTTAAGAAAACACAGATCGTAGAACAGATCAGGTTTTGTTTCTTCCTGTAAACAGGATGTTCCAGCATAAGGAAGTACCCTCTATTCAGTCCTTAGTGCCTCCTTGCAAAACCCACTGTTCTACTGTTTTTCAGTGGGCTTCAAAATCATATAAATACATTTACAAAAGTGATAGTAACATCAATAACTAAGGTTTTGGTCAATCTCTCAAAAAATTGAGAAAATGACTAAAACGGGGATTGTTAAAGCAAACTAAATATGGCCTGAGAAGGACTCTGTACTTCTATATTTGAGTCCTTATGGATGAACTGTAACCTAGCTTAATAGTCAGACAAAATTGAAAATCTAACTTAATAGTATGCATTTGTAACAATGGTTGAGTGTTGGCCAATCCCAGCGGCCGTACTTCAACCACTCATAGGGGCTGAATGTTCAAACTACGTTCAAAAAAGGCAAAAGTCAAGCCGTAACCAATCTCACTGTTTCTGTACCTCACTTCTGATTCCTGTATGTCACTATACCTTTTTTGTCTGTAAATTTATTCTGACCACAAGGTACCCCTGGAGTCTCTGTGAATCTGCTGTGGTTCTGGGGGCTGCCCGATTCACAAATCATTCATTGCTCAATTAAACTCTTATAAATTTAATTCAGCTGAAGTTTTTCTTTTATCACCATCAAAGATTATTCTACAATAGATCATAGGAAAATCTAGCAGACCACTCTGACTTGGCTTTTTAGTTTCCTCAACTCAGTGATATAGTTCCAAGGGCCTGGTGTTGTGTATCTGCTTTCTTGTTTTCTATCTATTTATTCAAATCTGGTCTTGTCTTTTGTCAATATAGTTCTAAAATCCTGTATAAGCCATGAAGTGTTCACAGAATTAGGTCTAGAAAGATTTTGAGGAGAGGTAGGACTTCTTTTCTCTTCTGGTAACAGAGTAGATCCTTGATTCCTGAGCTGCTGCTTCTTAGATTAACAGTATATGAGTCAGGAAGCTCATGATTCTGGCCTCTTCTGATGTGATCAATTCCCCACTCTACTAAATTACAGATAACTTTGAGTACACTTCTGTGAGAA